CCTTCTATGTTCCCTTGCCTTTCATATCATAAGTATTAACCATTGCCCACTTAATTCTTCCCCGCCCATTCTATCTTTCCTTAGTATCCAGAATGGCTGCAGAGTCACCGGGAATCTCTGCCTCCAGAGCAATTTGAAAAATACCAGGAACAGCACAGTGTCATGGGCAAAATATGTGAGCAATTTGAGGCAGAGACTCCTACAGACAGTGAAGCCACACAAAAAGCTCGTTTTGAGAAGGTGCTTGATCTTATGCAGCAGGTAAGGCCTCCTCGTCCTCTGCCTGCTGGTGCTGTTCACTTAGGTGTTCAGTGGAGGGAGGTATCTGGGAAGGATGCTGTAATGCCAAATCTGGGTAGAAGAGGGATGACAAGGGAGGCCACATAGTACAGTTCTCAGAAGAAATCAGAGAATTTATTAATTACATCCCCTCTGGGATCCTCTGTTGTTTTCTGGGATTTTCTCTGTCTCATGTTCCTCTTTCCTTATCTTCCAGCTACAGGATTTGGGTCATCCTCCAAAAGAACTGGCTGGGGAGATGGTGAGTATATGTCCTCCTAGATTTTGATCTGACCCTTGGTATCCAGAATTTAATGACCTCTAGTGATTTCACCTAAGGTGATAATGTGTCCACTGGGTATGGACACAGAAACTGACAGGAAATATGAGCAGTTATCTGAGTCCCTTCATCTCTTCTCCAGCCTCCTGGCCTCAACTTTGACCTGGATGCCCTCAATCTTTCGGGCCCACCAGGTGCCAATGGCGAACAGTGTCTGATCATGTGAAACACAACACGTTTTCTTCCCTGAGTCCCATCCATGGGGAACATCTGGAGTCAGCAGAACCATTGGGAGCTGAGGCAGGAGTGTCGTCTGCGGGAGCGGTCTGCCCGCTGCCCTCTGTCATCTCATTCAAGATTGTGCCATACCAGCTGAGGCATTTTCTCTGATTCCTAGGAATAGGGTCTGTTTCGCAGGCCTTTTCTGTGAGCCCTATTCCATTGTGGTTTCTGCCACGATCACAGGCCGAATGAAGGAAGGTCTCTCTTTTGGGGGGCACGTATCTTCTTTCCTCTCCTGCAGTAATGTTATGATATGTGGCCACATGGATGTTCACCTTTATGCCCCGGGTCTTTGTGCCTTGTTTCCACTCCCTCTCTTGTACCTGGGGAGCAGGGGCAGAGTCCTGGGACTCTGTATTTCTATAGTCCTCTCGGTAGGACCTTTGGGAATGGAGAGAAGCAACCTGGACTGTGGCTACAGGTCTGTTACCATACTCACCTTCAGACAAACCATCCTGAATTACCTAAAAAGAAAGGACTTTTAGAGTTGATTTTTGTGTACAGTGATAGATAGGAGTCCTGTTTCATTCCGGACTCTACTCTTTACTGGGAGTATTCCTCTAGCTGTGCCACTTAATCTCCGTCACTTCATCTGATAGTGCATATCAGTCAGACATTGCTGTTTAACAAACAAGCACAAAATGTAAGTGGCATGAAACAATAGCCATTTTGGGGGGGTTATTCATCTGTGGGTTGACTGGAGTTCAACTGATCTAGGGTGGCTTTCATTTAGTGGTACTGTTTCTCACTGCCGGTCTGTGGCTGTGATTCCTCTATGCTATTTGCCTCTCATCCTGTTTCTAGTTTTAGGCAGGTTCTTCCCCTCATACTGACATATACACAAGAAAACAAGGCCAAATGAACATTTTTCACGTCTGGTCACATCACATTCGCTAACTTTTCATCAGCCAAAGCAAGTCATGAGACCAAATAACAAGTGATGGGGCAGGGAAATCAGTTCTGATTATTTAGTGGAAAGAACTTCAAAGTCACAAGTCAAAGAGAGGGGATACAGAGAGGAGTGAAGAATTAGGGAACATTAATGTGATCTACCAGAGTGAGTACCTGCAGAGTTGTTATGAAGACAAAATGATAGAAAGTATTCAATAGTCAATAAATGTTAACCTTTAGGTTAAGCTTCATTTCTATTTTTATTTCTCCATTTTGCTCCTAAGCTTCTAACAGTTTTCAGCACATAATAGATATCTGGCAATATTCTTGTTGCATGAAATTTGCTATTATTATTTATCCCAAGGATAACATAAAGGACCCCAAACATACTCCCTACCCCCTATTGTAGGTAATTACACCCCACCTTTCTGTGTTCCTCCACAACTTTATCCAAAACTCCACTGACATTCATCACATTCTATCATATTTAATGGTTTTAACATCTACCTTTTCTACTAAATGATAAACTGCAGGAGAGCAGAGGCTGTTACTTACTCATCTCTGCTATCCCAGTGCCTAGTACAACACCATGTTCCTAATTGTTAGAATGAAGAAATAAATCAGCACTCTCAACATTTTATGTCTTCCTTTTCTTTCCTTATCTTGGTCATGTTTTCCTCTACCTTGAGCATGTAGATCAAACCTATAAAAGATATCTTAATGTTCCTGTCTCTTATTTCTACCACTTCTATGATTTCTGAGTCTTTTTTATTAGCTGATTTTTCTTATGGTTATAGGTCATATTTTTGCATGTCTGGTAAGTTGTAATTGAATATTGTGATTTTTATGCCATTGGTTGCTGGATTTTGTTTTATTCCTCTTAATAGTATTGGATTTTGTTTTGGCATGCAGTTAAATCCTTTGGAATCCAGTTGATCCTCTTGAGACTTGTTTTTAAGTTTTGTTAGGGCTGGTCCAGAGCAGCCTTTGTTCTAGGGCTAATTTGGCCCCACTATTAAATCAATGTGCTTCTGGGGACTTTACTGATTATCACATGTATTAAGAGCCTGTTCTTCACTGGCTGTGGGAACACAAACTATACCCAGCCCTGTGTGAACCCTAGAAATTGTTCTATGTACTCCTTTCTGGTAGTTATTTCTCCAATTTTGGGTGGTTTCCTCTCAGCACAAATAGGTCAGTGTTTAGGCATACTCAGGACTCATCTGTGTAGCTTCATCCTGCTTCCCCATAAATTCCAGTAGCCCTGGCCTCACTGGATCCTCTACTCTTTCTCTTCAACTCAGGGAGATTGACCACATGGCCCTACTTGGGATTCCCCTCCCTATGCTATGGCCTAGAAAATGCTTCCAGCAATAAGCTGGGGCAACTGTAGCCCTCACCTCAATTGACAGTTCTTAGTTGCCTGTTGTCCGATGTCCCATGAATGTTGTTTGATATATATGTCCCGTTTTCTGGTTGTGTGAGGAGGATACATTTACTCCTGGTTGTTACACATTGGCAGGAATTGGGTATAGCTTTTGCTGTTGCTCTGTGTATGGGTGTTCTTAGCCTCTAAGAGAGCTGTGCCTCACTTTGTCAGGTCCTTGATGCTACCAGTTTGTATCCCTCTGACACTCCAGTCCAGGGTTTCTCAAGTTTGACACTACTCCAATTTTAGACTGAAAAATTCTGTGTTGTGAGGGGTTGTCCTGTGAATTGTAGAATGTTTAGCAACATCCATGACTTCTACTCGTTAGATGCCAAGCAAAATGTTCCCAGACATGGCAATTAACATGTCCCAGACATTGCCAAATGTCTCCTGGGGGCCAAAAATCACCCCCACTTAAGAGCCATTGGTCTAGGCTATCCAGTTGCTGGCAAAGCCCTCACTAGCATCTTCCGTGTAGTAGAGGCCGTTCTATTCTCTGGAATCATATAAAGAAACATGTTTTTCCAGCCAAGGTTTTACCTCACTGGGAAGATGTCTCATTGGTCAACACAGCCAGTTATTTTACAGTGACTTTCAATGACTTTTGTTCTGATGACTTCGAACATAGGAGGGAGATTGAACCTGAAGAGTGAGATCATCATTTACACATCAGTGTGAAATGAAGGGAAAATGTTGGAAAGGGTTCATTTTCTCAGTGGGAATATCATCTGCTGGGCGCTTCATAATGGAAGCATCAATAAGTATGATGGAGATGGCATTTGAGTGCTTTCTACATGTTTTGTAACAAGAACAAACAATTATTGAGTACCAGTCCCTGTAATTTGCATCTGGAAAATATACCATTAGTGCTAGGAAAAAAGATTTATCTGAGTATTCTGGAGACCAGTTCTCTCCTAAAATGAATCGATAGATATAACCATTGCTATAAACATGAGTGCAAACAGGAATATTGCCACCAGTTAACAAAACTTGAGGAACATCAAAAGCTATTGATTATTGAGCAGACACTGAAATCTTTCTTTTAATGAGTGACTTCATGTATGTTCTACATCTTTAATCTATTAGAGTGCTAATTTTTCTTTGCATTTGAAAAACTACACAATTAATCTATTTTTATTGAAAATATTTTAGAGAGTCCAAATGAACAAATAAAAGTACCATAAAACAACCACTAATGATACGCCTTGGTATACGTCCTTACAGATAGCCTCTTATCTCTCTCCTTCTCTAGACTCTTATCTGTATATATCCTCGTCTATCTTTTTTTAAACAAATTGAGATTGTGCTGTTATAAGTTCTTGTAATCGGTTTTTAAATGCATAACACTATATCATAAACACCTTGTTACATCAGTGAACATAGAACTGCCATGTAAGCTTTAAAATAGGTGCATAGAATTTCATTGAATGAATGGACCATACTTTAGTTAATTAATCTGCTATTGATGTCATGCATGTTCTGAATTTTCTCTCTATAGGCAAGACAGTGATGGACATCTATTTTTATACATCCCCATGTATTTTTAAATTATTCTTTAGGAAGCTGAAGTCTGATCTCTCTGTTTATTTTCAGAGTAAGGTCCATTTAGAAGGCATACTTCTTTTAAAATAGGTTCTGAATTAGTGTCATATAAAACTATCTTACTTAGTGAGGGTCAGAAGGGAAGTTTGTGAAAGTGGCCCAAGTGCCAGAAATCTGGGGAAACTTCTTTTGTCTCAGATGGCAACTAGGATATATTTTTTCTTTAAAAATTCTGTATTTTTGCTGGGTATAGTGGCTCATACCTATAATCCCAGCACTTTGGGAGGCTAAGGTGAGAAGATTGCCTGAGAGCACGGGTCAAGACCAGCCTGGGCAACTTGGTGAGACCTCATCTCTACAATAAATTAAAAAAGCCTGGCATGATGGCATGTGCCTGTAGTTCCAGCTATTTGGAAGGCTGAGGCAGAAGGATTGCCTGGGCCCGGCAAGTTGAGGCTGTGGAGGCCATGAGAGTGCCACTGCACTCCAGCCTGGGCAACAGAGTGAGACTCCAACACACACACACACACACACACACACACACACACACACACACACACACACACAAATTCTGTATTCCAAATGATCTTCAAATTTGTCCTTCATTTCTTTGTAAGGCAAGTGATACATGAGAATTTCTAAACATATAAAAAAGAAAAGATGGCATTCATTGTATTAATTTTCTCTTGATTCATAACAAATGACTTCAAACAGCTTAAAACAATACAAGTTTATGATCTCACAGTTTCTGAGGGTCAGGAGTATAGGCACATTTCAGTTAAATCCTCTGACCTGCCGGGCTGGTGGCTCAGCCTGTAATCCTGTGCCTTTGGGAGGCTGAGGTGAGTGGATTGCCTGAGCCCACGGGTTCGAGACCCACCTGGACAGTGAGACCTCATCTCTACAATAAATCAAAAAATCAGCCGGGCGTGGTAGCGCATGCCTGTAATTATAGCTACTTGGAAGGCTGAGGCAGAAGGATTGCCAGAGCCCAGCAGGTCGAGGCTGCGGTGGTCGGGAGCGGCCACAGAGTGAGACTCCAACTCAAAAAAAAAAAAAACAAAAAAAAAATCCTCTGACCCATAATGTTCCATGCTTTCTTTCAGGTTAGTAGAAATGCTCTGAAGCTTTCATCACCCATCTCTAGACCTCTTTTAAGAGCTCAGAGGATTAAGTTCAATCTGCCCAAAGTAATCTTCCTTTTGGTTAACTCAGCTGATTAGGGGTCTTAATTACATTCACAAAAATTCCTTTTGCCACATAATATAACATAAGCACAGGAGCAATAAACCACCATGTTTACAAGTCCTGCCCATACTCAAGGGAAGGATATTTTATATGGCATGCAAACCAGGAGGTGGAAATCTTAGGGGTCACCTTAGAAGTCTATCTACCACATCCATAATTCTAATCTTCTAATAAAACCACTCATGATATTTTGGTTATGTTCCAGAATTTTGTCACCTCTAGGTTTTGTTGCATTTTAAAAAAATAGTTGTATTCATCATGTTCAATACCACTGAATCTTTTATTCTCATAATAATGTCAATACAAAATTTTGATAAGCATTATTTAAACATTTTGGCTGATATTGTTATTGACTAATATTTTTGCCTCCAAG